CTAGGCGGTTGCTAAGGCGTTTTAAACCTGCTAGGGAACAGGCTAATTTCATATACACGATTCAATCAGTTTAGTTCAAGCAATAACACGGTTGCAAGGCAGTTGATAAGGGGTTGCTAGGTGTTTTCTAGATGGTAAGAGGGAAAGGAATTGGTCATGCGCAGATTTGAACGACAGATCTTGCAGGAAAGATTACGGCATTCTAAGAAAACTCTGTTGTGAAGATCAGTATCCATGGCCCCCCAGTAGGGACACTAATTACACTGAGTAACGCGAATAATCATCTATTTCAGCACCTGATAGGAAGAGGTTCTTGATAGCGTTGGAGGATGGTTAGGGTGCAGTGAGGCCGTGCGAAGAAATGTGAGTAGGGAAGGTAGACTGTTGAGAAGGGTTAGTAATGGAGGTGACTGCTTGGTGAAGGGATGTAGAGGAGAAAAAGGTGGGGATACTGGAAAAGGCGAAATGAGTAGGGAGAGGAAGTGCGTTAGGACTTGCAGAGTAAGACTGGGTATAAATAAGCTGGCTTGAAGAGTGATGGAGGTTAGAAGGGAAATAGAATTAAGGAGGGTTAAGAGTGGAAGGGATGACTGGATGAGTAGGGCTGGAGTTTTCACTGGAATGTGGAGCTGGAGGCCAAGGGAAGGGAATGGGAAGTCAGAGAGTGGTGTCATCCGGTGAATTGTCTATGTTTTGGAATGTTATGGTAGGTGCAGTTTGTCTTTTTCCGTGGAATTGGTTTTTATTGCTTTTCTTAGTTGCTTTCTTTGATGGTCCGGGGAGATTTCGTGCATGCGGGGCTGTGGTGGGCTGAGGATAGGGGGTGTGGCGGGAGCGAGCGGTGGGCTGAGGATAGGGGGTGTGGCGAGAGCAAGCGGTTCTGCTGTCCTGAGAGGGTGGAATTGGTGACGAGATGGATTCATAGAGTTTTAGTAGTTACATTTTATTGCAGCGGCTGCGGATAGAGATTCCAGCATTTATGAGGGTCTGGTGGAGTTCGGTCACTGTCATCTTATTGGAAGTGAGGGATGATGATCTTGCGGAGGCGTATGAAGAAGCTGGTGAAGGTGGGTGGCGATTTGGAGTGACAGAAGATGGGGATTGTGTCCTTGCTGACGTAGAGCGGATAGGCCTTCAGCCTCTTATTGGAGCCTCGGTCTCAAGTCTGCTTCCAGGCTGAGCTTGGTGTTGTTGAGCCAGGGCTGGTGTTTCAGGGAGAGCGGAGATTTTGTCTCCGTCCATGTTGCTGTCGATGATGTGAGAGTAGATTTGATGCTGCTGTTTTGTTATTTCCGCTGTTATTGTATTGCTGCTGTTGTTGTTGATTTGTTGTAGTCAGATGATGTTTTTAGAATTGTTGATGGGTTGTAGAGAGATGTTGAATTTTAGAAGCTTGTGATGGAGCTGGCGCAGTCCTGTCAAGAGCTTTCTTCGGAAAATGAAGATAAGGGAGTCATTTTTTGCCAGGCTTCTTATAGTGAGTTTGGATAAATCTGATTGGCTAACTAATGATTGTAGATGACATCTGCAGTCAATCATATTACGTGCTTCTCTCGAAATTAGTTTGTGAAACTTCACTAAATGTAGGCTGCCATTCAGACTTAATTGTTGATTTCAAGAATACAATTGTTGATTTCAACAACTAAATTGCTACTAGTAAAAATTGGTTTGTCCTCCACACACTTCTCAACTGTTAAATCCTCTCTTCCCTCACACACATTTCTCACGTCTAGATGTAAATAGTGCAGCAGAAACACTCTGTTCTACTTTAATATCCTGCCTGAGTGAGATCTGTCCTGTCGCCACCAGACCAATGCACCCTACTCCCTCTAACCCCTGGCTGTCAGATGGTCTGGGAGAATGGTTAGTGTTGGGGTTAGGGCATGTTCTGAGATAACATTGAACAGCACCCAGGGCAACAGAGAGATCATGGCACAAATCAAAATCCTCCACTGACCTTAGCAAGTACCAAACCCAGCTGGCATCATTTACCTCCCAACTCCATTCGGCCAAATTCCCATACTACCATTACAAAATTAACACCACTTCAGACATCCGCAAACTATTCAGGACATTTTATACCCTGCTCTGTCCACCTCCACCAACTCCCTATCAGCTGGACTCCTTCTTTACACACACACAAAAAAAAAAATTAAATTAGCAGTCTACTTAAGCAGATGTAACGGAGGCCAGCTAGTGAACTGCTTACTCATCTGCATACATCACCTTCCCTTCAACTCCACACATTCAATACAATTTCTCAATCAAGCTGGGATCATCCACCATTACTCCATGTAGTTCGGTAAGAAACCTTAGGGTGATACTGGATGATCAGTTTTCCTTCAAAGAGGACATTGCTAACACAGCTCCATCGTGCAGAGCTGCACTTTTCAACATCAGAAAAATCAGACACCTCTTAACAGATCATGCAGCACAAATTTTAGTGCAAACTCTTGTCATTTCAAGGCTGGACCCTGACAGTTCTCTTCTAGCTGGATTCCCATCCTGCACCCTTAATCCTCTACAGATGCTCCAGAACACTGCAGCTCATATGGTCTTCAATGAGAGCCAACTCCTCTCTTTATGTCTCTGCATTGGTTACCACTCGAGGCTCATATCAAGTTTAAATCACGGGCACTGCACCCTTTTACCTCCACCTACTGCTGAAGGTCTACATCTTCTCTAGAAGCCTCTAATCTGAGAGTGAGCGCAGGCTATAAATCACTTTTCAAAACCTTTTCATTGACTGTTTCATGCTAGAGCAATGTCTTCTTGTAACATTTTGTGTACAATAGAAACAAACTTACAAGATATTTTACTACATGAAATTACCAAGCAGTCTGTTAATGACTTACACTGAGAATAATGGTATGGGGTGTGGGCCCGCCCTCCATGGCAACTGCTCATTGGAAGACAGTGCCATTGGGATGGAGCAAACCAGATTACTTAAAAACTGCAACAGTAAAACTTTGCTTTTTGCATTAGCTCACTCATGCTCGCTGCTACTCTCTGCCCCCTCTCGCCTTGCTTTCGGACACTGCACAGCCACTTAAACGGTCGCAAAAACTTTCCATGCAACCTCTTAAAGTTTAGGAACCGCCGAAACTGCGAAAAAAAAAAAAACTTCTGCAAACCGACTCTCAGCAGAGTCTGTCATCCCGGTAACCCGGACAACTTCCACTCACTCACAAGCTAGTGAATCCCAAGGCCTTCACTGAAGCTGAGTCACTAATCCATCAGGAACGGCGTGTTTTGTCGAGGGCAGTCGGCGTAAGAAACTCAAACAAATGTTGTCTCTTGCTGATGTGGTGCAAATTGATCTTAAGCAGTTAAAGATAAGTCAAATCTTTGCTTTTGTGGTTTCTCATAAGTGATTCTAAGATATAGTAAAAAGAGATAAAATAATTTGGGACGGTTGTCAATTCATTTTGCACAATCACCAGAATTGAGAACCACTGCTCTGAGGTACTCAAAATAACAAACTATCATACTCAAAATGAAATGCCTTCCTAAAGTTACTTCTCTACTTCAGTATATCCCTGTAAATATTTCTTTACAATATTTAAAAGAGTTTGATAATTTAGTCAATTAATTTCTCTGGAACAATAAGCATCCTAGGTTGCCTAGGAGAACATTGCAGCAGCCAGTTGATAAAAAGGGTTGGGGCATCCTGGCAATTATTTTATTATTACACCTTCAGGCCGAGACATCTCACTCACTAGTCCATGCTTCCAGAGATAGCTCCATCTCGGTTTATGGTTGAACAAGCCATCCTACTTTCCCTTTTACCACTGCAATATCTATCCATCCATCTATTTATTTATTATTATTATTATTATTGTAAATGTGACATTTTTGAGGCTGATCTCAAATATATAATAATTTTTACTGACAGAATTTTAGGTGCAGGCTAGGACTGTCTCTGCCATTTGCAAGTAATGTTGTCCTTTTGGCTTCATAGGACATGGACCCTCAACATGCAGTGGGCGATTTGCTGCTGAGTGTGACTTAGCAGGGAAAGAAACAGCACCTGTATGTCAGAAACCATGGTGCTTGATAAAAAAGGTGTCCATCTCCAGATTAGAGGAGAATCCTTACCTCAAATGAAGTTAAAGTATCTGGGTTTTTTTTTTTTCATGAGGAATGAAATGTGAGATTTAAAGATGAATCAGTGCAGCGGCAGCAGTAATGCAGTTGATTTGATTGTCTGTTGTGTTGATGGAGCTGAGTTGAAAGGCAATGTTCTCAGTTTACTGCTCAATCTAGGTTCCTACTCTTACCTATGGCTATGACTGAAAGGACAAGATCTCGGACACAACTGGACACATTTTACAAAAAAGTGTTATGCTTGTTTGAGTTGCAGCATAAAAGAGAGATGAGCCAACAAAATAGCCTGAATGCAAATTATTTATTATAAAATGTAACTCGTAGAACAATTAATTAAAGCAACCAACAAATGTCTAGGGATAATAATGAATTTAAAGAACATAGAATATAAATCACAACAACACATAAGGTTAAAGGGTCAATGAGATGGCAGGTCTTGACATGATGACTCCGGAGTAGCCACAACGACCTGGAGTAGCTAGCATAACAACTTTTATTTATCCATTAATGAGTAATGCAGGCATCCAATCAGGATTTACCACATACTCCAATCTGGAGTTTTGGGATCATCACAGTATATAAATGTTGTAAGACTGAATACCTGTTGCTCTGCCTAAATCATAAAATGTTCATCAAGTTCGTATTCTACTCAAAAAAAGTAAATCTAGTAAACTAGAAATATCTTGAACCTAAAAGTAAAGAAACTTTACTAATAAAAGATGCAACACAGGACAAATGAATGGACTTTCCCAGTCATGTTTCTCATTTAGGGAGTCAGACAGAGAGCATCATCCAAAACAACACTAGCTACATGAATACACTGGAGAGTGGAGTACAGATGCATCCAATCTTCTTCTGTTTTCAGATGTGTTAACTGATTAAACCTCTTGTCACAGTGTGAACACTTGTACGGTCTCTCCAGTGTGAATCATCTAGAGCAGTTTTAATTTGAGCTGTAAGAAAAGTCTTCTCATACTTAAGCACATATACTTTTTCACACCAGTGTGGATCTTCATGCGTTCATTAAGGTTTGCTGATCTGTTGAAACTCTTCCCACATTGGGTGCATGTGAATGGTTTCTCTCCAGTGTGGGTCTTTATGTGTTTAAGGTCTGATAAGTTGCTGAAACTCATCCCACACTAGAGTTTGAGCATGCAAAATTCTGTTGTACAACGCTGTGAAAAGGGGTGGGATTAAACAACATGATTAGACATAAATGGTTTATCTCTGGTGTGTCTCATCATGTGTCGATTAAGGGATGATGAGTGGCTGAAACTCCTCCCACACTGAGTGCATGTGAATGGTTTCTCTCCAGTGTGGATCCTCATGTGTAAATTAAGGTGTGATAAGAAGTTAAAACTCTTCCCACACTGAGTGCAAGTAAATGGTTTCTCTCCAGTGTGGTTTATCATATGTAGATTAAGGTTTGATGATTGGCTGAAACTCTTCCCACACTGAGTGCATGTAAATGGTTTCTCTCCAGAGTGGATTCTCGTGTGTTGATTAAGGTGTGGTTTGCAGTTAAAACTCTTCCCACACTGAGTGCAAGTAAATGGTTTCTCTCCAGTGTGGATCTTCATGTGTTGATTAAGAGAGGATGATTGCCTAAAACTCTTCCCACACTGAGTGCATGAGAATGGTTTTTCTCCAGTGTGGATTCTCATGTGTTGATTAAGGGAGGTTGATTGGCTAAAACTCTTCCCACACTGAGTGCATGTGAATGGTTTCTCTCCAGTGTGGATCTTCATGTGTTTATTAAGGAGTGATAAGCAGTTAAAACTCTTCCCACACTGAGAGCATGTGAATGTTTTTTCTCCAGTGTGGATCCTCATGTGTTGATTAAGGGATGATGAGTGGCTGAAACTCTTCCCACACTGGGTACATTGGAATGGTTTCTCTCCAGTGTGGATCCTCATGTGTAGATTAAGGTTTGATGATTGGCTGAAACTCTTCCCACACTGAGTGCATGTGAATGGTTTCTCTCCAGTGTGGATCCTCATGTGTTGATTAAGGTGTGATGAGCAGTTAAAAGTCTTCCCACACTGAGTGCAAGTAAATGGTTTCTCTCCAGTGTGGCTCATCATGTGTAGATTAAGGGATGATGATTGGCTGAAACTCTTTCCACACTGAGTGCAGGTGAAACAATTCTCGTCTCTCCTTTTCAAAATACCATCAGTCTGTAAATGAGTTTTTTCCTCAATTTTGACATGATGTTCCTCCTCTTTACTCTCAACATTCTCTTCAATTGGGTCTGAAATAAATAAATAAAACATTAGTTTTCATTAAGTCTTAAATACTCTCATTAAAAAATGAAAAGTGAAAAGACACTGGAAACATTGGCTACACACACTGTAATTTTGATGCACATTAAATGTAAAATATAAAAGATCATGTTTTGTTCGGCCCATTAACATGTACACATTTAAGCAGGTTTAATTAATCTTTATTTATCTAGTGCTTTTACAATGTATATTGTGTCAAAGCCGCTTAACATAGAAGTTATAGTAAATTGAAACCGTGTCAGTCCAGTTTTCAGAGTTCCTTACATAATTGATCATAAAAGTCATTTTGGTCATTGATAAGACAGATTTGAAAGCTGTAAATGGCCTATTTTTATTCCTATATATTCACAATAACAAAATCTTTTTTCTAAAATTTGTAAAGCAGACAGGAAATACTTGTTCATTCTTTGCCTGAGTGGTAAATGCATCAGAAAAAAATGTTCTGGGGTAAAAGCTGAACAAACAGCTGAATATTTGCCTCCTCGCAGACATGAGACACACCTGTACAGCATCTGCATAAAGGCTGAAATGTGCACCTTTCACATTGTGTGCTGTTGGGTCTTTTTCATCAATTCTGGGGTGATTTTGAGGCTTAGTTTGGAAAAAAACTTTCTCTGTTTAAGCAAATGAACTGATATTTAGGAACATCTTGTTTTGACATATTCTGGGAAAATGCTTTGGAAAAAAAAAACAAAAAAAAACAATACACTCTGGGCAAATTTACTCTTTTCATTATATTCATGGCTGTTTTTTCTCTATTGGCCTCTATTATTAAAACATTTTTTTGATTGCAAAGCCATAACAGCATATAATCATGCATTTATGATTGTTGGTATTTCCTGTGACGACAGTCAACATTGTTTAATTTGTCTCCACCCATGGGACGGCTAAAAGGAAATGGGTGAGAGTATAAAAGAAGAGTAGAGTTGAAGAGGGCAGCATTATGTGGTGTGTGGAAGAAAGAGAAGTTGACTGAACTGTTGCATTGTGGGGACAAGTAGAGCAGGGGTGGCCGGCCGGTCAGAATCTGCAGGCTAGCGCAGAAGCTCAATTGAATATACTGGGGTAAAATAAATGCTCATATTACAAAGACATGGCGGGGAAAAATGTAATGTAATGCAGTGCTTCTTGTACAATCTGAGACCCACTTTATATCAGATATCACTCGAGCAGTGGAGAGTGCTGATTTCTATAGAAAGCAGACCTTAAACACGCAAATTTTTGCTTTGGCATACAGTGTACCGGAAGCGCTTAACCCAGGTTACTGGCAAATTAAAAGTCCTATTAGCATGCTTCGGCATATACCCTATTATTGCACAGCCAATTTACACAAACTGACTATAGAAACACTATTCTGGTTTTCCAACATCTGTAATGATGAGGGCCCACTTTGGTTACTGATGGAACAGCACACGTCTAATCCATTGTCTTTACGCTCACTACTTTGTGCTTTCATTCCAGTTTGTGGTGTTTGTTCACCAAAAATAAATGTTAATGAAAGAAAAGAGAAAGTGTATTATTTTGTTCATATTGCTGAATGCTACTTTTGTTGTAGTTCAGCTGTAATTGTGTGTGTTCTGTACATATGCCTGTGATTGATTGTATACAGGGGGCGCTGCTGGGTTATAGGAGGTGCAGATAGTGAAGTGTGAGATAGTGGAGTGTGAGACAGTATCATGCTGCTGTAAAACTACTAAAGAATAATAAATAATATTCTAAAAATAACGCAGAGATTTGAGATTTCCCAGTCAAATATTTTAGGTACCGTCAGGTCCGTAGTTTCATTAAAAAACACTTCTTTCCTTTACTGAACCAACCAGAAGCATGCTGGATAGATGATTTGGTAAATATGAACCCATATCAAAGGGGTATGATGTCCATGTTATATGAAGACATCCAAAGAACTGCCTCCCCTTGCCTAACTTGTATAAAGCAAAAATGGGAAGATGAACTAGGACTAGAAATATCAGATACAGCCTGGCAATATGCCATAGCACTGGTACACTCATCTTCTGTATGTTTCAGACATGGTCTTCTTCAGTTTAAGGTGCTTCATAGGCTTCCCCTATCTAGGAGCAAGCTGGCAAAAATGTATCCAGGAACAGATTCATTTTGCCCCAGATGTGATTCAGAGCCAGCAGATCAGAGTCATATGTTCTGGGGATGCCCTAGAATACAATAATGTTTTGGACCAATATTTTTAGATAATTTTCATCTATATGTAATAAAGATATGGATCCTAATCCTTTGACCTCAATTTTTGGTACAGTGCCAGAAGAAATGTACCTGTCAGCCTAATCACAGAAATCCTTGCCTATTCTTCTTCATTGGCCAGACGCCTGAGTCTTCTCAGGTGAAAAAAACAAACCTGCCATCCCACAAACATTGAATATTAGAATTGTTTTCACATCTTTAACTCGAGGACCTTAAGTACACCATCTGAGGCTCTGCAAAAAGTTTTATGAGGTTTGGCAGCCTTTCCTATCCCACATTGAACGCTCAGGGGTTATTATATCCTACGTGAGAGTTTATCCCTAATTTCTTAATTTGTTTTATCTGTTTTATTTATTTATTTGACTTATTTATTCTTCTCTTTCTCCCTTTTTCTTTATGGGTGTAAGTATTTCTGTATCTTTGTACCGTTTAAATGTTTTGTTCAATACGTGTGTTGTGGAAAAATTGAAGACTTTTGAAAAATAAATAAAAATATTTGAATAATAAGAATGTAAGCAGTACTAAAAATAGTTTTTAGAATGAGTAATAATCCCATGAATCTAGTTACAGTGCATGTCCCTGTCAAAGGTCTGTGAATTTAAGCTTATTATTCACTAAAGAAGGACAAGCCATTCTCGTAAGTGACTTTGTTCTTTGTGTGACTGAAATGTAAGCAATAGCTGTTTCCATCCAAAATACAAATTAAATTTATTTGCAAAACTGGAATATCACATAAAAGATATGCGAATAAAGCAGCGTTTCCATCCGATGAATCAAAGAGAACAAAATCGTCACTTCCTAATTAACTGGCGCCAAATATCAACAGTAAAAACAGAACTCACAGTGGTAGAAGACGCTACATAAATCTTTTTTGTACTTAATAAATGACTTTCACCTCAGAGGATAATGCCGACACACAATGAACACGTGGTGACGTTTGAAGCCATGAGACGTTTGAAAAACGTTGAGGTGGTATACCTTGAAAAGGGGTATCGTCCCATGCCTAAGCAGCATAACACTTTTAAGATCTAAAAATTAATTATTTAAAAAAAAGTCTCAAGCAAAAATATTCCAATAGCGCCGCCTGCTGGTACATGAAGAATATGGTTAATACTGATGAACTTCACACTCAAATGTTTGCATATCATCAGCATGCTGATTTTCTTCATTTCTTAAGCAGTAAAAGATATTTTTACACTAGCTTGTTGGCCAGTTGTAGTCAGTGCAATGCTAAACATTATCTTTTAGTCTCATGTCATCCCAACATCATCATATAGTTTAGAACACTGTACAATGTTTTATAATAATTAATTGTTTTAGTGTCCATTTCATTCAGCATTTTTCAAATTAAGGGCATCCACGTTTTCTGACATACTTTTAATCGTGGTCTCTGCAGGTTCACCAAGTTAAATTTAAAATGTTTTTAGACATATTTAAGACCATTATGAATGAAATTTTAGACTAAGGAATTTTTCAAATGCCCCAGATGAAAAAGATTTGTATTTGTCCTCTCAAACAATAGTATAATTTAATGCATTTAATAATAAAATAATTATTGAATAATAATATTATTTAAATATTTTTTTTATTTCTTAGCAAAAGATCTTAAATATTGTGTACTACTCTACTTGTATCCACACACTTTTTTCTAAAATAAACTTTCTTTAAAATAAAAAAACAAACGAGCAAATGTTTTTAAAGTTTTAAAACTATAATAAACTAAATCTATGCGCAACAATCTGTCCAGGTCGATGTCCTCAGCAGTAAATCCATGGAGCACGTTTAAACAAATGTTATTGTAGACAAAATAATTAAACTATTATAATAAATAGAGTTAAAATGAACTTTTTGAATAAAAAGTTAAACATTTATTGAGATAAATTGTTGGTGATTGTATGGGTTTTGGCCAGATTGGGTAACAAAACATGAACAAAGAAAAATAAAGACTTGTATAAAAAAGATTTAAGACCTACAACACAACATTTCAGTAAATTTAAGACTTTTTAAGGCCTAAAATTTTAGATTTTGAAATTTAAGACATTTTAAGACACTGCAGGTTTTAAATAGGGAATAGCCCTGGTAATTAGTTAATATAATTATGATGTCATTCTAACTCAGTTACTATCTGTGAGAACTAGTAACAACTACTAGAAAACAACTTTAAACCCAAAAAGTTGATTAAAAAAAGGGGAATTGTGATCAACGTGACATATGCAAATGGAAAGTACTAAGCCAACACCATCACTGTAATAGCAGACATCTTTTATGAGAATAGAATAGGTCAAATATTGTCAGCTCAAATAAACTTTTTAAATTGATTGTTTTTATTTATTTTATATAGTGCCAGTGCTCATGGACGCTTTACAAACAGTAGGAGAACAAGAAATGCAATAACCTTAAGAAGGTAGAGAAAATGGGAGACTATTAAAACAGAAAAAGAATGACTCGAGAACAAGTATGAAAGAAACTCATTCCTATCTTTAAATAAGTGCTTATGTGCATCTAGGAGAACTAGGCAGCACACCCAGGGCTGCAAGATGGATTTAATTTAGTATTCGTATTATTAAAATATATCTAAATGAGGATCA